TGAGACAATTACATGGGAAAAACTCTTACCATGAAAAAATTAAAAAGAAGACCTTTTAAATTCATTGCATAGCTAATTTTGCTTTTGCTAAGAGCTGTTTCATAAATTGTGCTTTATAGCATTATACCTTGTTTATTTTTCAGATTGAAAATACAGTCAAAATGTCTTTAATCCGGACTCATCGGACTCGCCGATTCCGGATTATAGATCATCAGTTTAAATCTGTAAGATGGCATGCAGAAATTATAAAATTAAATATGAAACCGTAATTTATGAAATAAAGAGCAATTATGATCTAAACGATATCAAAATTTACAAAAAAAAAAAAGCTTAATATTTTATTGTTTACTTTATTAAACATTCTTTCAATGGCGCACATGCGTAAGCATACATTATGCATAGTCGAAATTAAAAATTGCAACTAAAACTATTTGATGTGTATTCGTGATATTATAATGACGAGGATTTGATTTAAACATATCAAAAACGGAGTACATCGAGATGAATACTACACTAGTAAGGAATTATAAGCCAAAAATAAAACATCTGCTCTGAAGATAATGGATAGTGCTGACAGATCAACTTCCAGTTTATTGCTCGCCGTGACGTTCTTCGGCAAAGCAGCGCGAAATTGATAACGATTTCGGAATGGTTAGAGAAACAAGGATATGTCTTTATCCATTTTTTTTTGCAGCAATTCCACTTTTGTTTTGATGACATCGAAACATGCTTTCACTTTGTAGATCCTTTGGCAGCTCCAGAAATCGTAAATTTTTTTTGACATAATCGAAAGTTCAAGCTTACTTTTATACAATGCTCTAACATTTTCAAAAAATAATAAGCCGATCCATTACAATTAGGAACAACGCAATCTGTAATTAACTGAAATAGATAATTAGATAATTTTAGCTACCTTATACCATCCGTTATACATTAAATGCGGATGCGCAAACGTATTATGCGCATGCACAAACGCATATGTAAAGGTATTATGCACGTGCATAGATGCATAATGCGTTTACGCATGCGCAGAAAGTTTGTAGCTTTGAGGTCCGGATTATAGATCATTCCGAATTAAAAACTTTCAAAAAATAAAAATGTTCATTTTAATGTTATTTTTTTAATATAATTTCAATATATTAGCATTATTTTAATGAAATTTATCAGAGTTACGATGTTTTAAAAAAATCAACAAAAGGCTCCCAGATCTCGGAATTAAAACTTTTCTACAGAAACTGATTTTAAAATAGCCAAAATGTCAATAAGTGTCCAAATTTAGAACAGTTTAATAAAAGACTTCCCATACCCAAAAGCAAAAAGTTGTTTAAAAGCTTGTTATTAGAAAAAATGAATTTAGAAATACTTATGTTTCACTTCTAGCGAAGAAACTCTCCCACCATTTATATTAGAAATAGGAACAAATCATAACCCATGAACCCATTCAAAAGATAACCATATATGTCAGTGAATCGCCAAAACAAATTTCCCCAAAATGCTAATTCACACTCAGAATGGCAGTTGTGAAAACAGATTTTTCAGATAATTAAAATTAAGGACCTTCTGCCGATTTTGGCCAAAAATTAAGGACTTTTAGGTTGTGTTCAGACGAGGGCATAAAGGGCATAAGTGGTTAAAGCCGAGATCTGTTGCCAAGGCAACCAGTCAGTGCTACGTCACATAATCTGGTTTAAGGTTCGTGGCACAAGGTTCCAAGTTTTCAACTTTACACCGAGTTTTGGATAAGCATCAATCAATCAGAGTGAAGCTAAAATGAAGAGGCTTTCTTTAGACGATTTTGTTGCTACATCGCAGCCGACATTTTTTTAATATGGAGCACATCGTATCCGAACGAGTTTTAATCGTTTCCAAGTGAAATAATGAGTTGATCTCGCAAGAAATCTACGATGATGACATGCATTTTTTAAAGAGTTTTCACTATAAATTGAACAATATGGATGAAACTTGTAAATCAAAAGTTAAGCTCAGGATTATGCATGCTGTGTATGATCCTGTAGATGACTGATCCCATCCAATATTATCCATTTTATTATGAAAATTCTTTAAAAATGCATGCTTGCAAAATTTTATTTTTTTTTCTGTGTAAATTATTATTACATTTTTTCTGTTTATTATTTTTGTATAAATTATTACTATCTTTTCTTCTTGTTAATTATTTTGTATTTAAGAATAATTTATTGCAAAAGCTGGAATATTGTATTGCTATTTGCTTCAATGCTGATTTTCTTTCCAACAAACTCATTAATTAATTTTACTAAACATCAAAATCAATATCAAGAATCTGCTGTTTTTTTTTAAACATAAAATATTACTTAAAAATATTTTCACTTATTTAAGAATAGTCACAGTAGTCAATTCAATGGGTAAGCTTTGTATAATAATAAAAGATTAAACTTTTGAGAAAATGCTTTTATGAATTCCAAGAAGGAAAAATGTATGAAACAACACAGTCAACAGTTTTGTCTCCTGTTAAAGTTCTTTCTGTTTTTAATTACGTTCTCCATGAAAAGAATTTACTTTTAATGAAACTGAATAGCACACTAATTCATGACATGGACTCAATTCAATGAATAGTATTTTTATTATTATCCACCTTTATTACTATCATTTGAATGCAATTTTGATCATTAAATTCATTCTATTCTCTGGTAGAAACTCCTGCATAAGGTAGATGTTAATTTTGTTGTATTTGAAGACTTGGTACCTAAAATTTGTCAATGTGAAATTACTTTTGAGATATTGTCATAAATAGAAATGACAGCATATGTTGAAATTAAATTCAGGGGTTGGCTTATCATGCAAATTATTAAAATAGATGTATACAAACACTGGCAACACAGTAAAATGTATTTAATGATGAGCATGAAATACATTGTTGGGTAACGTTTCCTGATATTGTACTAGTTGTGGGTTGCTGGTTATGGTGACCAGTTTGTGGGGGATACTAGTACTAGTGATAATTGATACTGGTAGTGCAGCCAACTACTGTAGCGATCGACAGTGGCAATGATAAGGGTGCTAAGCACACATGTTTCACTGTTACAGAAACATGTTTCTTTTGATTGAAAATTTAAAATAATAATAATAATAATATATAATAATGTATGGTAGTACTGTTTTCTGCTTAACTGCTTTCACACCTGCAAAATGGAAAAAGATACATACAGGCTATCTGTCAATTATCCTCAAGATTTTTTTTTTTTTTAATTAGGCATAATTTAGAATATCGCATTTCTCCTAAGAAAAAAATACATATAAAAATTGAAGAACGTTTTATATATATAAATATGCATGTGCATGTTTATAGTATAGAGAGTACAATGCAGAAATATTCCATACTGCTTTGCACAGAAATATAAGCCAACCAAGTATTGGTCTTTCCAAAAAAGTATCTCTAGACCTGTTCGTTCTTTTTCTTTTATTACCTTATTCCGTTGCCTCTTGGCTAATAAAAAGGGCAGATAAAAGAGCATTCTGTTGAACCAGTAAAACTTTGTGGTGAGCTGTAAAAGCCATGACACAAAATAACAAAAACAAGCAGAGCGAGCGCGGGAAATCAGTAGACACATTCACGCATGCACAAATTTAGCTTCTCTCATTGGCCACAGCTTAGACCCCATATCGCAGGTGTGAACGGATGTCCCGTATTTTATGCCCTTATGACTATGCCTCTATGCTTTACCGTCTGAATGCAGCTTTAAGGTCCCTTAGGCTGTGTTCAGACGGCGGTGTAAAGGGCATAGAGGCATAGTCAAAAGGGCATAAAATACGGGAGTTCCGTTCACACCTGCGAGAACGGTGTGTAAACTGTGGCCAATGAGAGAAGCTAAATTTGCGTATACGTGAATGTACAACTTTTCCACGCTGTTCTCCTGTTTGATTGATTTCCCGTGTTCGCTCTGCTTGTTTTGTGACAGCGAAATCTTCTCTAGAAAGCCGCTTCGTTCTGATTGGTCGATGCTTATCCCAAACTCGGTGTAAAGGTGAAAACTTTGAGCCTTATGCCACGAGCCCTAAATCAGATTTTGTGACTTAGCACAGACTGGTTGCCTTGGCAATGGAGCTCGGCTTTAACCACTTATGCCCTTTACGCCCCCGTCTGAACGGAGCTTAAAGGACCGTACAAACCCTGATACATACAAACTCTTCATTATTAAGTAATAGAGATACATTACTAAAGCCATATGTTTATGTATTTTGATGGGAAATTGTTTGATTTTTCGTTATAATAATGCTTGTTCCTACTTTAATGATAAAGCTATGACATAATTTTTTTTAGATTTATTGCTTAAAAACTACTCATGATTTTATAATGCAACAAGTAACAAATTTACAGCTTTTAGAACATATTAAAAAATAAATAAATAAATAATTAGTTCAATATAAAATAGAAGAATTGCATTTTTGGTTTTGCAGCTGACAAGTATAATATAATTAAGTTTACATGAATAATGTCTTTTAAATCTACAGTCTAAATACTTATATTTAATTCAAATTAAAAAAAAAATAGCAAGGTGGCATAAACAGATCTATTTTAGTACTTCTTACTATATAGCTGACTTGGTAAAATTATTGAGTCAAACTGAAAATTTACCAGAAAAAGGATATGCAACATAAAAATAATCAAGGCACTTTTGTATTAAACAACTGCTGACATAGTTAACATTTTTTAATTTAGGAAATAACAATTAAAAAAGAAATACACATCTCATGAATATCAGAAATCTGAAACTACCTATCTCAGCAACAAACTTATAAACTCAAACCTGGTCTGTAAAAATGAGCACTTATCACAGTATTATATAAATATATTAAGGGCACATCAGATAAAATAGTTATCTATTTTACCTGATGATATTAAAAAAACAACTATGATTTCTATAAAATTAGCATACAAACCCAGATCTAAAGCAGTTTTTTAATTTCAAATGTGCCCAAATAATAAACATCAAATAAATGCTTAGTTAAATGTATATTAAGAATGAAATTAAAATCCAATTTTTATTATAAGATTTCTTTTAATGATATCTACAGGATCATTTTTCCTTTTATTCTAATGGAGAAATTGGTGATTCTGATTTCTGTGTCAAATCAATAGTTCAGTAGTTTGCATATCAATTGAAAACAGTATATATACTTTTTTTTATTGTTTTTGTTTGAAAACAATTTTTCGGCTTTTCAGTATACTCCACTTTAGTCGCTTATAGTTAAAGGCTACACCCGTAAGAAGCGATAGTACAAACATCACCTATAAAATGAGAAAAGTACATGAATACTGATTTTCATAAATTTCACACTGAAACACACAATATGTAAAACTTAAAAAAATAATCAAAATCTTAAAAATTATTAAAAATTATTTACAAATGAAGTCAAAAATAAAATATGAAATCACAATGCTTTTCACAATCCATATAGAAGTATGACTAATACATGAACTGTGAAATTAATTTTAGTAACAATATAAATTTACCAACTACCAATTTCTGTCCTTTTTTATGCCTAAGATTCCCACTAAAATTCATATTATACTATGATGACAAAATAATCACAGTTTTTTCAAATACAGGCTATGAATGGTATTTTTATTTATTACTATTTAAAGGAAATACATAATTAGTATTTAAAAAAAATACTTGGTAACTGAAACATTAAATTGACTCTTAAAAAAATCTAAAGCAAAGAACTGTATCACATTATATGATTGTTGTTTTCTAAATCAGTGACTAAAATTTTAAAATTTAAAGTTTCAATGAAGGCAATAACAATTAATAACTTTAATTAAAAATAATAATGAATTAATAATTTTTAATTAAAAACACACAGTAGTATTTTCATGAGCAATATCAAAAATTAGAAATAACAGATAAAAGTGATGTTCTTATTCTCAGTAAATTGAAATAAATTCTAAGACAAGTGAATGATAAAAACTGATTTGCATATAAAATGTTACATGCCAGTATATCAGTATGCTCAAAACAAAGTCTGGTAGACAAATAAAAAGAAACTATAGGAACATTAAACACCACATGCATTTGTTACAGCCTTAAAAATAAACTGCCAGCTGAATAAAATCAGATTATAAAATAATATTTAGTGAAAATTCATTTACAGAAAATGTTATATAATTTTTAAATTTGAAGTTATGATTTGGAAAGAACATACGTGTTGTTCTATTATGGATATTGAATTATTACCACATTGTCATCAAAGGTGGCAGACACTGTGGGCCAATGCCTTCCTCTAAAGGATTTCTCCATGATGACTCTTTGGTTATCTTCGACTCTATGGTTATCTCTTCCTCTTGCTAAATATTAAAAACTCCGACTCCACTGAAACAGTCCTTCTCAGCTGCTGTCTTCACCAGTTTCAAGTCCAGTGCATTTACAAAGCAGTATTTTTTTCATAACATTGTCATTTTGCAATAAGATCATGAGCCATCCAATACATTCTGTTAACTTTTATATAATTTTAAGATACCAGATTATTTAGCTCAAATCCTGAAAAAATCAAAATTGTATCTCCTTCTCAATATTATTTTCATTTATAAAACCAAAAATACTATGCAAAATTTTCTTTCAACAGCTGGAATATGATTGTCCTCCAGCTTATCACAAAATAATTGAGTCAAACTGAAAATTAGTTGCTCCAAGTCTCAGAAGCATAGGTCAAAACAAGTCTTATGAGCATTTTGTAAATAAAAAAATTTGTTTTTCTTGAAAGAAATGTAAATCTGAAAACCTTCTCAATCCATAGAAAACCATATTTGCCAGATACATCCCATTCTGAATTTTAAAAGATAATCTGTTATCAGTACTTATGATAGATTCCAAACAGATAAAACTCTTCAACTCAGATTCAAATTTATAGGAGTATTTCAGGATAGGAAGCTCAGATTTTATTTTTGAAAAAGATATGTATTTTTTTCTCCTCATTTATAACAGCCCATTCGACTTGCCGGCAACTTAAGAGCAAGGAAAGCCTTTCTTAGAGCAGGAAACATTCTGGCTATCACATCAACATCATCAGCATTAATTCAGAAGTCAAACAACAAAAATCAGCATTATACTTTCAAAATTTTCACAGGACTAGTTTTGATGGTTTTACCGAACCACCATCCATCCTCAGCTGCAACACTGCAATTTTGTTGTTTGACTTCTGAATTAGTATTTGTTCGGTGTGTTATTGTGTCTTAATCATCAGCATATGCAAGTAGTTGTATCAATCTAGAAAAATATACCCACTGCTATTAATTATTTTAATCTAGTAATATCTCTCTCAAATGCTATATTAAAAAATCTTATGCGTACACCACATGACTTCCTTGCACGGAATATTAAATTATATGCATTTTTTCTTGCATTTCATTTCAACATGTCGGATTGAATTAAATCTACTTCATCGATAGCGCATAAACCACAATAGGATAAATGCACTCTTTAAAATTCACGCGACACTCCGGCGCTAGGTTCGCTTAACAGCGTTATATTTCGTTCATATCATAACTCAGAATGCACAAAATTTATATCATTTGAAGAATTATATAATTGTTGCCACATGTTCTATTCAAATACTATAATAAATCTAGAACACTGTATAAAAGAAATTAAGCAAACAAAACAAAAAAGTTTTTTTACAGACGATTCAGTATTTCTCATTCAATTAATTCAGTTCTCACTTCCCGACAAGGCAAAAATACATAAAAACTCAAAATATCTATATAGTACAAAAGTCCGTAATCCGGACTTCAACGATTCCAGATTAGGGGATTTTCTGGATTATAGATCATCAATTTAAATCTGGTAAGATGGCATGCAGAAATTATACAATTAAAAATATGAAACCGTAATTTATGAAGTAAAGAACAATTATGATCTAAAAGGTATCAAAATTTACGAAAAAAAAAAAAAAAGCTTAATATTTATTTGTTTACTTTATTAAACATTTCTTTCAATGTAAGTTGTTTAAGTTGCTTTGTTTTTTTGTGCTAATACTTTCTCTTTAATTCTCTCTTCTATAAACAGACATAATTTCTTGTTCAGTTACAAAGTTCCACTGTTCAAATCCTGTAATTGCTGAGTCGAGAATACCGACTAACTTGTCAATCGAAATTTTTTCGTTTTTCAATAACCTCTCTGTCACTTTCTTTACTATCGGAAGTTCGCATGTGTAAACACTTTAGTAGCGGACGTGCGCAATAAGTTTGTGGCTTTAGTAGCGGACGCTTTAGTAGCAGACGTGAAAATTAAGTTTGTGGCTTTGAGGTTCAGGTTATAGATCATTCCAGATAATGGATTACGGACTTTGCACTGTATTAAAAATTATGAAGTAAATCTTAAACACTTATTTCCTCGAATAAATTCCAGAATGGATTAAACATGATTTAATTCACAATAATAAAAGAAGGCATTATCTTTGTAGTTAGGAAGCTTAGCTTCTCTAGATTGACAACAAATCCACTATTTGCAAACGTTAAAAAGTAAACAAACATGTCCGCCATCGTAAATTCATTAGGATTAGCTACGCTTAAACAACTTTTTAATTGTTGATAACTCCACAAATATTGCATGCAGATTTATTAAAGGCATAAAAACCTTAACTGGAAGATAAGAACAACATAATTCAATCATTTTTAAAGCAAAAAATGCACAACTTACAAACATATAAGAGTAAAGAAACTGAGATCACTGAGCCAGTTAACAAAATGGATATACAGTAAGACCCCGCTTAACGCGGGGGATACGTTCCATCGAAGTAGAGCGTAATGCGAAACAGCACTAAGCGAGGCTATCTTAACATGTAAATAATGGGGTTAGGGAAAGACGGATAAAAAATGGTTAGGCATTAAATTTAATAATGTTTTTTTTTAATAAAAATAAAATCAAACATTTATTTCTTACAAAATAAAAACAATATAAACGCATATACTTTTAAAAACAAATAAAATTCTCAGTCAGATCATTCAGTCTATTCTGGGTTTCCCGATTTTTCTGCCTTTTTGTCAAGAAGGCATTATGATAGATTGGCTTAATGGCATATTGCGTTCAATTTTGTCGTCAATCCATATAGACAGTCGTTTTCCCCCATTTCCTCTATAATGTTATTTCTAGAACGGTTAATTCTAGTTGCAGAGCTTGACGTAGTTGCAGTTGCCGATGACAGTATTTTTTCTTTATTCTTAAGAATTGTCCTTATTGTTGAAGTTGCCAAAATCAATGCAGCACTAATTTGAGATTGACGTTCACCAAATCTAATCTTCTAATCACTTGCATTTGAGTTTCCAGTGAAATGCTTTTTCTGGTTGCTTTCTTTTCTTGTTTTTTATTATTCACCCATGATAAAAACTAAAGATCATAATATTTGTCACTGTATTAATCGTTATAGTATTATACAATTTTAAACTTACAATAATGTCAACAAATGTTTCAAATGATAAAAATGCGTTTCACAAAGCAAGAAACCACACTACACTGTTCGGATATGTTATTTGGAAACCTAGCGCTGCGCACAATTTCGGAGAATCCCCGGGTTGAAATAAAAGAGCGCTAAAACCGAAACAGCGTTAAGCGGGGTCTTACTGTATATATACATATAATTTATATACGCTTGGTGCGGCTGATTGCAACCAAAATATGAAGTGCACATCTATATACAAAATTTTAATGTTCTGAGGCTACTCGTTTCTGAGTTATGCGAGATACGTACGTATGAAAGACGCCACGAAAAATTCTCTTCAGAATTCATTTTAAATCAGTTTTATAATTTTTTTGGGGGAAAAGAGTCTTTTATTCTGTCCCTGTGTACAGATGTCATGCAAAAACATTGTTAAATTGCATTTGATAGCGGTCAAAATGGATATTTTTGTTTAAATATGATGCCTGAAAATTTTCGTGATTACAATACTTCCTTTTTACTTTGTACAAGGAAGTAAAAAGTAAACAGAATCTCTCTGTTGTCCCTGCTGTACTAATTATGTGAAAAATTTTTGACACATACCACAAAAATGTTATCTTACTTGCACTTAGTAACTTTCAGTGCAAGTCTAGTCAGTTTAGTAAGTTTAGAAGGAATACTGAAGTCCTTCAGAGTCTCAAGTAGGAAGTTTTATTTATACTATCAAAAACAGCCTTAAAATCAATAAAGAGAGGATAATAAGTCTCAATATTAAATTCTATTGTTTTTTCAATAACCTGGCACAGACAAAATATTTGGTCATTAGTTGACCTTCAGTGCGAAATTCATACAGATAATTTCCAATCAGTGAATCAAAAAGACAGGAATAGTTTTAAAAAACAATATTCTAGATAAAATTTTGTAAGTTACAGAGCAAACTAATGCCACAATAATTAGTGCAAAAGATCAGATCTCCTTTCTTGGAGATCGGACACAAAATATTAATATTCCAATCAGTTTGTATAATCTCACAGTTCCAATGTCAGTAAGTGATTTGAACATATTGTTCAACAAGATAACTCTGGGATTATGCCCGAAAACTTTCTTAAATTTCAAATTTAGTTGCAGCTTTAATCTCCTTCACGGCTGGTACCCCAACTTCTACATTATTGCTATATTCAAAAACAACAGGAGCATCATCTTCATAATTATCATTAAAAAGCTGGTTAAAATGTTTATCATTTTAAAATATCTCGTTTATAAGCAAGAATTTCACCAAACTTATTTTCACAGAGACCAGTTGTCTGTTTAAATTCAATCAACTATGATTTATTTCACAATAGAATGTTCTGCAATCATTACTGGATATGAGATGCTCAGCATTCCTAAATAAATGTTCTTTGAAAGCCCTTTCCTTTCTTCGAAATAGTTTCTTTCCCTCTAATCTGAGCCTATGTTACTCCTCTGTTTTATTTCTTGTATATGCCTGTTCCTCAATGTCAGTTGTTTAAGTTGCTTCATTTTATGTGATAATGCTTTCTCTTTAATTCTATAAACAGACATAATTTTTTGTTCAGTTACAAAGTTCCGCTGTTCAAGTCCCGTAATTGCTGTGCTGAGAATACCGACTAACTTGTCAATCGAAATTTTTTCGTTTTCACTAACCTCTCTGTCACCTTCTTCATGTCTTTATCCATTTTTTGCAGCAATTCCACTTTTTGTTTGATGGACATTGAAACATACTTTCGTTTTGTAGATCCTTTGGGAGCTCCAGCATCGGAAATTCTATTTGACATAATAAAAAGTTCAAGTTTACTTTTATAAAATTGCTCTTACAGCCTGCAAAAAATAATAAGCCGGATCCAACTCGAAGATTAAGGAACAACGCAACCATCAACATTAACTGAAATAGATAATTAGATAATTTTAGCTTATACCATCTGTTATACATAAAACGTGCACACGCATACGTGCACACGCGCTTGCGCAAACGCATATGCGCAGTCCTAAAATTCTTACGTGCACACGTAAATGCCTATGCGCATGTGTCAACGCAGCGCATGCGCAGAAAGTTTTTAGCTTTGAGGTCCGGATTATAGATCATTCCGAATTATGGGTGTCCGAATTAACGACTTTTGACTGTATTCAAGTTTAATTTTATCCTTTTTAAGCTTATCACAGTCAAAACTCCTCTACGCTTCTTTGCAATAGAGATTCCTGATCTGAATTTTGCTATTATCAGGAAGGGATAAGAATCCACATTAGTCTCATAAGCTCTCACATCCAACAAGTCTGAATTAAAGCGTAGCATCAATTAAAACATGACTAACTGGATCAGTATAAATGCCATATAGGACACACCAAGTTTCCTTATGAATATTTTTATGTAGGAAAGATGTGCTTCCTATAATTATAATATGTGAAATGGTAAAATCTGTTACATAATATCATATCCATTAACATTGGTTGTATCATAGACAACCAATGTTAATGGATGTTTACATATTAAATTCTTTTTCTCTACCCACTTTAGTATTCAAATCCCTCACAATGACCTTTACATCAAAACTTGGGAAAATGTAGTATATTCTGCTTTTATTATCATAGAAAGTTTTCTTTGCTCCATCAGTCTTATCTTGGGTAAGGGCATAAGTTCATATATTACTAAAATTAAAGAATTTTGCCTGAATTCTAATGTTATACATTCTTGAGGAAACTGCTTCAAAACCTGATCTCGTATTCCTTTGCTCAGAATAAAACCCATGCCCTCGATATGCTCCTTAGAGTGACAAATGCAGAAAACAGTACGATTACTTTTTTTTTCCCCAAAATTCAACTGTCTATCCACTTAACCTCTTGAATCACAATAATATCAGTTTTATATAGGTCCAATTGTTGCAGCAGCAAATGCAAAGTCTTGGTTCTATAAAGACATAGAACATTCCAAATACCAATTTCTCATTTTCTTATTTAGTTTACCAAATTGCTTCCTTAAAGTCATCATGGATTTTTCTTCATTGGATTTCATAAGAAGTTGTTTTTTTATAAGGTAGGGGTATTAACCATAGGCCTAAATTTCAAACTGGAGGGCCAGATCTCCTTATTTATAAACTGCTAGGAGGGCACACATTGCCTGCTTGCATTTCATATTGGCACCTGGTGTGATGGTTTGGGTACATGACATTCAAATCTCTAGTTCGGATCGACGGTAATCTGAATGCAGATGGGTACATTTCTCACATCTTATGTCCAGTGGCTGTGCCCTATCTTTGAGCCCACCAAATGCCATGTTCCAGCAAGATAATGAAAGACGACAGGTTGCAAGTCAAGTTCTGACATTCCTCAATACACAGGGTATTCGATTGCTGCCCTGGCCTGCAGAGTCTCCAGATCTGTCACCTGTTGAAAACATCTGCTCATGGGTTGCCGAGAGACTGGCTCGCCACCCCTCTCTAGCTAATACGGTTGATGAAGTATGGCATAGGCTTGAAGCAGCATGGAATGAGTAGCCCATTTCTGTCATCCAAGCCCAGCTTGTCTCCATGCCTAATGGGGTAAGAGCCATTTTAGCTGCCAGGGGTGGCAGCTGTTTCTTTTTTGTATTTGCTTTTTTTCATGCTGTTGCAATTTTAATGGTCAGCAGTGTAGACTACTGGTATCAATTTTAACAGTTTAAAAAACTTTTAATGAATTTTTGTAATTTCTATTTAAAAATGAATTACCTATCAAAACATTTTTATCACAACAAGTTTAAATTTCAAGCAACAGATTTAACAATCCAATTTCAAAACAACTGATCTTGTAAAAATATTTCATATTTTCATTAATTTTTTAAACTCTGACTTTAGAGCATATAAATAGACACAATGCCTTACTTATATTTGATACCATTATATTCATGATAAAATTTTTATGTATATTCTGCACTTATACTACAATTTCTACACTTTTATCATCTCAGGATTTACAAACCCAAACTAAAAAAACTGAATTACGTGTTTGTAATTTTAAATTTGTTTGCAGAATTATTAACACATGCAGCAAAATATCTATACATATTTAACTTCATATAAAATAGATTAACAATAATTTAACTCACTTTGATAAACATTCTCTTCCTGGTATCATGCTCAGGTTCAGCAGCCCATTTTAAAAATGTACAGACATCCTTAGCCAGTTGGCTAAGTGTAGCAGGAGTTCCATCTGAATATTCGATAATTTCATTATATAATGCCTGAGCCATTCCTATTGCACCTCCTGGAAAGTATGGATTATAGTACAGACCCTCTCTCATTTCTATTCCAGCAGGAGGATCACAATATCCCGTAAGAAGCGAGAATACATAATCCTGTAATAATTACACATTCAAATTTTTAACTCACACATTATTTTTCTATGTTATTTAATTACATGTAGCAGTATATTTATAATAATTTTATAGCAAATTTATGAGAAAAATTTACTAACTTCTCCTCCATGCCGAGCACTAGTGATATACGTTAGATCTGGAGGATATGCTCCATTATTTGCAGCTCTTGCTTGTCCTTCATTAGCATAAGGGCTCGGAAAATTGTCATAGAGCTTTCCTGGCCTCTTAAACATTTCACCTTCATCATTAGGTCCATCTAGTACCATAATCTGCAAGACAGAGTTTATTGGACTTTGATGATTTAAAAAAAAAAAAAAAAAAAAAAAAAAAATCTTACTAGTCGCCTAAAAAAATTGCTATTCATATTTTTATTTAAAATATGTAGTTTTTTTTTAAAATAAAAGTAGTCTTTAAATCTTGCATTTGAACAATTAAAACCTTACATGGTTGAACCTTACATGGCTGCAATCTGAAGAACTATTTAAATTAATATTTTTAAATCATTAAAAAAAAACCCTACTGAAATTGCAGGTGGGAACTCTAGTAAAAGCACATGCTATGAAACTTACTTTAGATGCATCAATTTAATATAATTAAAAGTGGGTCAGATGTAGACAAAGGAATCTAAAACACATGTTATTGGAATAATATCAAAATATCAATTGCTAAATTAACTACAAATCAAAAGGCCCTCACCAATTTAATTAATTCAGAATGGCATAATGGCCTGAATATGAGTATTTCTGAAATCCAGAATGAGGAATTTATTTCTAGGTTTGTATTTACATTTCATGATGCACAAAACCAATATCTACAACAACAGCCCAGGAAGTAAGATCTCTACTTCAATTCAAACACAATCTTTGCTTTACAGCAATTATAATATAAATTTTTTAATTCATAGCAAAGGCTTCATGAAGGATAATCTACTAAGGGCCAAATGGATAAATGAAATTGGTAGTTTAGGATGGGTTAAAATCCTAATAAAAGGGTTGATTGAATATAATAAAGGAAAGAAACCATATTTCATCTATGTTTTCCTGTTGCTTATAGATCAAAGGCAACATTTTAATGCTTTTAAAGCAGTATGGTTTCTGAAATTTTGTATTATAGTAGTTTCAATAATCTGCCTCCAAGGATTGCACCAATTACAGGATCATACCTTCTTGAATTTACTTTGGATACTTCTCTTCCTATTTTATACATTAAATCTGGGTTGTTTGTACATAAATAATTAAAACCAATTTTTTATACCTTAATAAAATTTGATTGTGTATTATTACACAATATTTTTAGTATATTTAAACACAAAGAAATTAAATTCAGTACAAAAGGAATACAGTAGTTCTGAAAAACTCAGCCTAATGTGGTCTGATAGAGTGATGAGCTATCAAAAATATCTTAGATTTACAGAACGGGTGAGTTATTTATAGTATTTCATTTAACACCTAAATCCATGGCAATTCTATTTTCTTCTTTGGCCAGTCCCTTAAGGCATCCAGTTTCATGTCCATAGACATGCTGATTTGTTTTCTTTTGTTCTCGTTCAACATTTTTACTTGCACAGACAACACAACACTTCTAAAGCCTGGGCATGAATAAAGAAACTACCTAAAATAAACTAAAAGTTTAACATATAACAGGGTATAATCTAAACCAGCGGTGGGCAAAAAATGTTGACTGTGGGCCAAAAAAGTCTTTTTTAGTGCATAAAGAAGGCATAACCACTGCAAGTGCGATGGTGCTTGTATGATAATATTTTGAAGTGCCTGTATTGTTTGCCAGAATGCGATGAAAAGACACTCTTCCCTGATATTTTTTTTTAAATTCTATGCACTTAATTTCATTATTTTTATTTAAAAAAAAAAGCCAAAGATGATCACAACAGCTCTGTGAAAGGATGAATCAATAAGATATAAAATGCACATGTACACTGCGGAAGGGGGAAAAAATGGGACAGTTCTATATTTCCCATTCTACTAGTCTGATTGGCGAAATTCAAATTATGTTTTCAATGTCTTGAAAGTCAGTGTCTTCTTGTCCTTTTTTTCATTGCCCATGAGCGGGAAGAAAGTCATCATTCATACTTTCAAATAATGCTAACAAAGTGCGTAAACCACATTTGGCGTTATTATTGCTTATAATAAATATACCATATTTCAAAACGTACAAAAATGTAAATTCATGTACATCTAAGTGCAAGTCTTTTGATGATTTATATCCTGAATATGTAAATGCTTCTTATTACGATCTTAAGGTAAGATTTTGTAACGTGTCGTGTGATAATGTATTTACAAATGCTGGTTAGTTCTAAAGATGTTAGAGTAATTAATGATGATTGTATTCCCAATGTTAATAATGATTCTGATTCCAGCAATAATATTACTGATAATTGCTTAAATGTGGTGATTTCAGTTGTTACTAAGCCTAAACAGCCATTAAAAAAAAATCGAGAAAATGCTCCTTCGAGAAACAATCGAGAAAGGCAAACCCAAGATGTGGATGGCTTCACTCCGCCCATCCAAACTAGTTAATAGTAATATGGAAATTCCCACTAGCAACAAGTTTAATAAGTTACAGAATGACTCATATGTCAGCATAGATAATGTAATGGAGGCACAACCAGATCTGGTTGAAGTATTAGCTCCTACAATTAAGCCAATTATGGCTAAGCCAAATATTAAGTTTTCCGAATTTCTTTAAAAAATGAGAATGGAAGCCAAATTAAATTTCACAGGAAAAGTTTTGGGAGAATTTCTTAAAATCTTCCCCAAAACGAAGGATGATCATACAGGAATTACTTAGATGCACACAAAATATATCACCATCTCATATTGAAAAAATATGAAAAACCAGTGACAGTTATGATTAGAGGCTTGCCTATAGACATCCCAGTTGAAGATATAAGAGAAGAATTACGTAATCTTGGTTTCAGTGTTCATACAGTTGCACAAATGCATAGACTTGAATCCAAAGCCCCAATGCTACTATTTCAAATTCAACTAGAGAATACTCCTGGGAGAAAAGAAATACATGAAGTAAACTATTTTCTGTTATTTTATGTTGAGTATGAAAAAAGTGGGGCTGTTATGCAGTGTCACAACAGCCAACACTTCCACTGCAACTCAGATATGTGCAAGCTAAAACCATGATGCGTAAAATGTGCGGGTCCACACAAAACTTCTGAATGCGTATTTAAAAAAAAAAGTAAGTCAAGTGCTGCAACTGTTTAGAAACAGGACACGGCCAACTTTAGGGAACGGCAAAAATTTTCGAAGTTACCTATAACACGGTAAATGCTGACAAAAATGTTATTTCTAAAAATGATGCCAAAACTGTTAATAAAACTTCACAGGTTACCCCAAGTATCTCTTATGCGAGTGTTACCCAAAATATTGTTGTAACCACTAAAAATGAGCCAAATAGCAATTCTGAAGTAAATAAATAAAGTACTAACAATGCAAAATCTAACGACTCAAGAATAAGTGCCTTCGCAGAGATTTTCAAATTGCTTAAAGAATTAAATAACATGCTTAGAGCTTGCTCTTTATCCAATATCGTCCAGAAAATAGCAGCTAAAATGCCAGGAATTCAGACTACAGAAAACTCTATCGATAAGTTATTTATATTATTTAACCTCTTTGAAGAAATATTCACGTGCCAAAATGTTAGCAATGTATAATTACTGTGTAGTGTTCTCGTCATTAAGGAATATACTACTTAGTAATATCTACAAAAACTTAAAAAGAATATTACTACCCCATGCAAGTAATTATTTATCATGCATCTCATTGTAAATATCCAACTCACAGCAACATTAGAATAATCAGCCTACTGCTCCTTGTTATTATGTTTTACTCAGTACCTTGTAATCTAGCCTCATTTAGTCTTGTTTGAAGATATTATCAGTGTCATCACACCTGTTCATTACTTTGAACTTTTTATTTTACAATATGCAATTCTGAATATGTATACCTTGTAAACATGTATTATTATTCTCTTAATATCTTGTGGCAATCTAATGTTCGAATGCGTGCACAGCCAATCCACGTCGTGGTTTATGTAAAAACTGCTAGCACGGCAGTGAACTCACTCACTTCGCCCTTAGCTGCAGCATAGGATGTTTTGAATTTTAGTTTAGTGGTTTTGTTATTCGTTCTGTTATTTCAGTTGTGTTTAAAGTTATGGTGTGTGTGAATAAAGGTTATGTTTAAGGAAACAGAGTCGTGTCAATTCAAGGATATACACCAAGCACATAACCACCACGCCACCATAAAATGGTGACCCGGTGTCAACGAAAAAAAATGGAGATCCGGCTACTCGCATGAAGCTTCTACTGGTTGTTCGTTCAAAAGCTTGGTTCCAGAACTTTTGTGTTTTTCCCTTCAGCCACAGACATGGAAGAAACAGCAGCAGTCAAGATTCCAATTTACAATCCGATTGACCCAGCATTGTGGTTTGCTATGTGTGAAGCAACTTTTGCTTTAGCTGCACCCAAGCCTATCACGGATTCGAAGACAAAATTTAACTACTGTGTCACTCATTTACGCCGGAAATTGCTGCATTGGTAAGATATATTCTCCGGGAATGTACAGATTCTTCTTATGAAGACCTCAAAGCTGCTATTACGAACGCTGTGGTGAAAGCATTACGAGTGAAATACGGAAATTACTCACTGGCGAGCACTTGGATAGAAAGCCATCAGAACTTCTACAAGTAATGACTAGTAGGCTGAAAATACAATGTGCCTGACTCTTTGTTACTGGAATTATTCATGCACCAGATGCTGCCAAATGTCCAGTCTATTCTATTTTAGCGTCGGTTGAGCCGCTCAATTCATTGAAAGCTGCCAGTATCGCGGATAGAATATTGGAAGTTACACCCACCCAGGTAAGCGAAGTTTCTGCTCGTGTATCTCTCAATGTCTCTGAGAATTCTAATTGGATTCCCTGCTGGAGGAAGTGTGCAAATTGCGGAGTGAGGTTTTGTCTCTATGATGATCACGCAGTTTTTCTAAAAATCGCTGTAACAGGAAGCGAAGCCCTTCAGCTAAAGCTGTTTCGAACTGTTCCTATTGTTGGTATCATCATAAATTCAGTAACAAAGCTAAAAAGTGTGTTCCACCATGTACATTCCAGGGAAATGTACCAGGGAAAGTATAGTGGCGACATGCGCTTTACCCTCTGAGTCTCGTCGCCTTTTCATTAGAGACAGGAAATCGAATAGAATATTTTTGTGCGACACTGGCTTCAGCAGCCAGACAGGAAGT